AAGTGGTTCGGGACTATTTAGAAGAAATGGACGTGCACAACTCCATGGGGCGGGATGAGCTGCATCCGAGGGTGCTAAAGGAGTTGGCAGATGAGATTGCACAGCCATTGGCCATTATTTTTGAAAACTCATGGCGATTGAGGGAGGTCCCAGATGACTGGAAAAAGGCTAACGTAGTGCCCATCTTTAAAAAAGGGAAGGAGGAGGATCCGGGGAACTACAGGCCAGTCAGCCTCACCTCAATCCCTGGAAAAATCATGGAGCAGGTCCTCAAGGAATCAATTATGAAACACTTAGAGGAGAGGAAAGTGATCAGGAACAGTCAGCATTGATTCACCAAGGGGAAGTCGTGCCTGACTAACCTAATTGCCTTCTATGATGAGATAACTGGCTCTGTGGATGAGGGGAAAGCAGTGGATGTGTTATTCCTTGACTTTAGCAAAGCTTTTGATATGGTCTCCCACAGTATTCTTGCCAGCAAGTTAAAGTAGTATGGGCTGGATGAATGGATTGTAAGGTGGATAGAAAGCTGGCTAGATCGTCGGGCTCAACGGGTAGTGATCAATGGCTCCATGTCTAGTTGGCAGCCGGTTTCAAGCGGAGTGCCCCAAGGGTCGGTCTTGGGGCCGGTTTTGTTTAATATCTTTATTAATGATCTGGAAGATGGTGTGGACTGCACTCTCAGCAAGTTTGCAGATGACACTAAACTAGGAGGCGTGGTAGATACACTAGAGGGTAGGGATCGGATACAGAGGGACCTAGACAAATTAGAGGATTGGGCCAAAAAAAACCTGATGAGGTTCAACAAGGACAAGTGCAGAGTCCTGTACTTAGGACGGAAGAATCCTATGCACTGCTACAGACTAGGGACCGAATGGCTAGGTAGCAGTTCTGCAGAAAAGGACCTAGGGGTCACAGTGGATGAGAAGCTGGATATGAGTCAACAGTGTGCTCTTGTTGCCAAGAAGGCTAACGGCATTTTGGGCTGTATAAGTAGGGGCATTGCCAGCGGATCGAGGAACGTGATCGTTCCCCTCTATTCGACATCGGTGAGGCCTCATCTGGAGTACTGTGTCCAGTTTTGGGCCCCACACTACAAGAAGGATGTGGAAAAATTGGAAAGAGTCCAGCGGAGGGCAACAAAAATGATTAGGGGGCTGGAGCACATGACTTGTGAGGAGAGGCTGAGGGAACTGGGATTGTTTAGTCTCCAGAAGAGAAGAATGAGGGGGGATTTGATAGCTGCTTTCAACTACCTGAAGGGGGGTTCCAAAGAGGATGGAGCTCGGCTGTTCTCAGCGGTGGCAGATGACAGAACAAGGAGTAATGGTCTCAAATTGCAGTGGGGGAGGTCTAGGTTGGATATTAGGAAAAACTATTTCACTAGGAGGATGGTGAAGCACTGGAATGGGTTACCTAGGGAGGTGGTGGAGTCTCCTTCTTTGGAGGTTTTTACGGCCTGGCTTGACAAAGCCCTGGCTGGGATGATTTAGTTGGGATTGGTCCTGCTTTGAGCAGGGGGTGGGACTAGATACCTCCTGAGGTCCCTTCCAACCCTGATATTCTATGATTCTATGTCCAATTAGCAGCATTCTTCTTGCCGACTTTTGTGAGCAGGGCCTGCCTCTGGCTCACAGCTTAACTTTGCTCGATGTTAGCGAAGTCTTGACCATTACTTTAGTTCAGGCCTCATACCGGGCCTCTGATACCAAGGGTTTATGTCTCAGGGCCTCATCTTACTGCACTGCCTTTCTGGGGCCATAAGTATTGTTCAGCTGATGAAACTGAGAATCCGGAAATGAAGAACTAGGCCGCTTTCCAAGCTTCTGAGTCAGGGTTCATTAATGTGATTTGTTCAGCCTGCCTCCTGTCCTTCACACTGCTCACAGCTAGAATCAATCATCCGGCGGTGACAGCGGTACTGGGGATGGGGGCAGGTAGGGGCAGCTTCCCGTTTGTTTGTTTAAAAAAAACCCAAATCCTTCGAAATGACAGCAGGGTCCCGCTGTGCTCCTAGCCCGCCTGTCGTGGCTGGAGCTTACGGCCGTCCCCTGGCGCTCTCCAGGCTTTTCCTCTTGTCTTTTGCATCCGTTTGTGATAGCTTGTCTTGAAGGGTAATCTGGTCAGGGCAGGGACTGCAGCTGTGTATGTGGGCGGGCGTGGGGAGAATGTGGAGCTGTTTCAGTATGTCTGAGTATTTGTGCGCAGTTGAAGCCCAGAGTCTGTGGGGACCAGTAACGGACATGGAGAGAACCGAGTGCACAGCAGTGGCGTCTCACCAGGTTTTCACTTTTTCCCCGCTGCCTGTCTCAGCTTCTGGGGCTAATAATATTAATGGCAGCTCACTTGTATCTTAAGTGCACTTGCAGGCAGCATTGATTTATTCGGCGTGTGTGTATCTTGTGGCCTTTGACCCGATACAGAGGGCATTCGCCGCCTAATCTTGGGAGCTCTTCTGCTGCTGGACCACATCTTTGTTCCCCTCCTGTTGTTTGAAGCAATAGATCTGCTTTGACACGGCTGCGTTGAGTTGCACCGGGGGGAATGCCTGACGCAAAATGTAAAATACACCCTCTGTTTTAGTCTCGCGTTAGGACTTTTTTGTTTTGAATCTTGTATAGTTCTCTCTCTTCGTGCAAACGCTTCCGTTTCAGATTTGTTTCAGCTACTCTTGTCGTATTCAGAGTAGCAGCCGTGTTCGTCTGTATCCGCAAAAAGAACGGGAGTACTTGTGGCACCTTAGAGACTAACAAATTTATTAGAGCATATTGTCGTATTGTTTCCTGTCCCCAAATTCCTAGGTCAAAGCCGTGGCCCAAAGCAGCTTAGCGACGGGTCACATTTGTAAAATGTTGCTCTGAGCCTTTCCCTGCCTTTTCTTGGTAGAATGTTATGGGGTGAGGGAAGCTGTGGAGTTTTCTTAAATTAATGTAACGCGTTTGATTTTCCCTTCAGTACTTAGGGCTGTTACGGTCCCATCAGAACAGGCCAATGAAATGCCTCACAATCATGTGGGCTCTGGGACAAGCTGGATTCACAGACCTCACTGAAGGACTGAAAGGTAAGAATGGGATGAGCTGCCTAGTCCAGAAGATGCAGTCTGGGGAGATCCAGGGAATGAACTTAATTTCCACTCATGCACTTGCTTTGCTCTACTTGAAAACAGGACATGTACCGGAGATAGCAAAGGCAGGTCACTGCAGGCATGCCGCTGTGGGACGCGGTGGGTGAGGGACCCCAAATAATTCATGCAAGACTTGTAAATGTGTGTCAAGGCTCCTCTTTCTAATGGGATTAGCTTTCTCTTACCTCACTTTCACGACTTCTTCATTGCTGGGGTAAATCATTTTCAACAGTAAAAGCCTGGGGTCACCTAACTTCTTTGGAAACTCACTGTGCATTCTTAAAAATGTTCAAGAGACCAAAGAACCAAACTTAAACCATGTCTTTACGTACAGCGCTGCGGCTGTCGCTGCAGCGTGTGTGGTGAAGATGATCTGTGCCTACAGGAGAGAGCTCTCCTATCGGCATAAAAATCCCACCTCTGCGAATGGCAGAAGCTGTCAGCAGGAGAAGCTCTTCTGCCGACGTAGCGCTACGCACACGAGCGTTTTTGCCAGCATAACTTGTCGTTCAGGGGTTGGTTTATTCACACCCCTGAGTGACAAGTTATGCTGGCAAGAGCTGCAGTGTAGATGTAGCCTTAATCTAATTGATTGTCAAAGCAAAATGGCACAATACAAAAAAGGAGGCATACGTATCCTTCTGGAAAGCAATTCTTTTCTCCCAGTATGTTCACCTTACACAGAAGGGGAGCTTCAAAGATACGCATTTTAGCTGGTGGTATTTGTAGTCTGATTTGTACAAGTTACAAAGCTCTTTGCCATTATCAAGCCCACCTGTCTGTAACAGTTCCTTCTCCTGTTGTTTTATTCGGTACTTTCCTTAGCTCTGCGTTCCCAACCATCGCAGCTTGTGCTAGGACACACCATTCCTGTAGCCTGGCTTTGACAAGCTGCCTATTTTCTAATGCCAAAGCTGACTTCAGCTTTGCAGTGTGTTGTGGGATACTTGACGTGGGTAAACAGAATTGTGGAGAGAGCATAATACCTTCAGTTAACATCTCTCTCTCTCTCTCTCTCTCTCTCTCTCTCATATATTTCTGGCCCTTTAAAACATTAATCTCCCTGCCTGTCTCTTTCAAGAGCTGTCTGGGTCACACTTTTGGACCCAGATAGCGTCAGGCAGGCGAGTAGCTCTGATAAATACCTACTTTTTACGCTGGTCGCGTTGCCGGACAGTCGGTAGGAAATGCTTCAGAGAGTCCTGTCCTGTGCTGTTCTAATAGCTTTCTCCTTTCATGCAGTGTGGCTTGGCATTATGCTTCCAGTGCTGGGGATCAAGTCCCTCTCCCCGTATGCGATTGCCTACTTGGACCGGCTGCTGATGTGAGTTATAGCTGAATTAGATTGGTCTCTCTCTGTTAAGGATAAAGCCTGCCCCAGTTCTCGTGTACAGCAGTTCCTGGGCCATGGGTACCCTTGGCCTGCTGACATTAAGAACCTGGAGTGTGCGTATTCAAGTTTGACCAGTGGGATGGGAGCTCCTGCCCTCACCAGGGGTTGACACTGTCGCGCTGGCCTGGCGTTGGAAACGTGACGCTCCCTAGACTTGCAGTGAGGTTTGACCCATGACCTCCGCCTCAGTGGGGTGACAGTGTCGAAACGAAGTATCGGTAATAACTGTATCTCGTTATCTTGGCCTTTAGTCTGTCTGTTTTCTGTAACTCGGTGCTGACTACTCCCCGCCTAAAGCCAGAACCCTGGCAGCCCTGGATCGCTGAGGAGCAGGATTGGTTCTACGTGTCCCATGGTCTCCTCTGGAGAATCAATGGCTGTGTTCTGCTCCTCCTTCAGGGGCAGGGAGTGCGAGAAGTGAACACTGTCATTCAGCCTCAAGCAGCCCTGGCTGCGCCCTGGGTCCGAGATTGGGACAGCTGCGAGCTGCGTCGTTGGATGCCGATAAGGTCCAGCCCTGGCGTTCCTGGCCAGCTGCTAATGCAGCAACCCAGATCTAAAGCAAGTGGCACAAGAGAGAACCCAGCTTTGGCCAGTTTTCATAGGGAGTCAGTGAGCTCGCTGGGCTGTGTCTGTTGTGGACTGCTCACTGGGTGTGGGAGGTGCTGGCAGCCGACACGTTGACTTGTGCAGATGGCGTGCGTGTCCTTCCTGCTGCTGCTGCCTAGTGCCTAGTTACGACATTCTGTCTCTCAAACGACTGAAAATTCCCCAACCGCAGTGTGTGTGTGGCGGGGTGTGTGTGTGTGTGTGACACTTCTGTTGTGCAACTGTGCTCGTTTGTGTTTGACAAACCTGGGGAGAGAATGGAGCAGGCTCCCCCCGGCTGCACTTGGGCTGGGTGTTGGGTGAAGATTCCTGTGCTAACAAATACTGAGTGTTGCATGAATCCATAAACTAGGATTACAGGTTTATGTCTTCATTTTGGTGTAATAGGTCCTGTAATTAACAGCCCAATGGAACTGTCACTGACCCCTTGAACACTGGCACCAGCAACAAAGAGCCCGGGACTAGACATCTCAGCAGCAGAAGATGAATTAGGTTCAAATTTATCTAATTATCCTTGCCAAAAAGGTGCAGGGCATATCTGGCTGAAGGGCCTGGGAAGAGAGGCTGCAGAGTAGCCGAGGGGGGAAGTTGTGCCGGTACTACGGGGATAGACATCAGCTCATCGCCGAGATAGCCGGGCCGTGCAGCGGCGCATTAGTGGAACATGGTGGGGTCATTATTCAAAGGCTGTGCACTGTCCATTCCCGAGAGAACGCCGGGGGCTAAATGGTGGGCACAGGAGAAGAGGGGAAGTGCACCCAGGAGACGGGAAAGCTCCTTTGCTTTATGAAGGGGGTGAACAGACTTTTTCAGGGATGGGCTCCACAATGAATAGGCTGAATCTAGACTGCAGCTGGGGGAGAGCTGCTCTCACGAATGCCTCTGGCTGCCTAAATCCTCTAGCTCTTTAATTATCCTTTCCCCTCCTTCAGAGACAGGAGCCAGGTTTCCTGGTCTCTTGTTCCCGCAGACCGATGGAAATGAGGACTGTGAGCGTGGGCTCATTGCTGTGCAGACAGCCACACAATAGCCGTTTTCATCTGTAGCGTAGAAGTTTGGAGGGCAGATGACATGCAGTCCCCAAGACGGCCTTTCTCCATTCCCTGCTTTAGGGCACGGGCTCTAGAGAAGCCATGTGAATGATAAAGGGGACGTGTTCTTTAGCCACCATAGAGCAACAGAAGAGAATTCCTGAAAAGCTTTTACTTTAAATAAGGGTTTTCCCCCCATTTGTCTGTTCCCTCGGGAACGTCACATCTGTCATGTGTGAGCCAGATCTTGGGCAGTGTTTCTCCTGGTTCTTCAGCCTTCGGAAGCCTGAGTAAACAGTCCAGCCCTTCTGACAGCATACAGTGAAACCTATCTCCATTGCCACTGTCCTGCCAGGGAGCTAGTTGTCCATAGACTCCCAGAACGAGTAGATATGGCCTATGTTCCTAATGTTAGAAACCAGCACAAACACCTTTCTTGCCTCCCCATTCCAGCCCTTCATTATAAAGAAGCAAACAAGTGCACAAGCCCATTGTTTCCTTTGTGTGTTGCCTGTAAAGAAGAAAGGGTGTGGGGGTGAGTGTGTGAGAGAGAGACATTTGTCAAAGGCCGGTCTGGTATAATGCTGAGTGCGTAGAAACAAAAGACAGTGTGTACTGCACAAGACGACATGCTGGGAGAGTGGGAGTGAAAAGTACAGCATCAGCGCAACCCTGACGGAGTTCCTGGGGGTGCTAATCTACTCCCGGCTCAGTGATCCTTGGCTGTAGTCTCCAGATGCATGGGGTGTTGTAAGGTTCAGCCTTTAATACTGCTTCAGAGTTGGGCCCGTAGAGCAGCTGGCAAGGGGCTTGGTTCTTTGCTTAGAACAAAGTGCTGCAGAATATTCAAGACAACTCTCCACCTGTTCAGCAGCCAGTGATGTGTCACAGCGAAACTGGGCCTGAAATAGACGCAGAGTGCGTGATTCTGAAACCCACGCACTCCGCTCCCACCACAGCTGTGTTCTCGGAGTGAACTGGCACCTTCCCTGCGTTTGAGGCCTGAAACGTGGTGAATGTTCATACCAGCTGCTTGTTTCGGAAGCAATCCCTTGGAAGAGCATTAGCAAGCGGGGGAAATTCTGCTAACAGCAAAGCAGCCTCGCACTGCCGAGGGTCCAAAAGGAGATGCTTTACAGGCTGATTTGTTTGATGTTCCCACTTTGAAATCAGGCAGCGTGGATTGAATCTCGTGTCTAATCCTGGAGCTCAGGTGCTCGTGATGGGAGGGTGGTGGGGGGAGAAGCATGCACAGTCCTTGGAACCAGCTCCCCCAGGGGTTCCCATCTGTCTGCTGCCCGCAGTGACATGATTCCTGTAACCTCTGTCCTGACGTTTTTCCATTGCAGGACGCACGCTAACCTGACCAAAGGCTTTGGCATGATTGGACCAAAGGACTTTTTCCCACTCTTGGACTTTGCCTTTATGCCCAACAACTCCTTATCACCCAGGTATGGCTGACTTGCCCACGGTCTCCATACAGGAATGGTGACTTGCAACCCTTGGGGCTTTATTTCAAGCAAGTGCAGAAATGGGTAGTGAGAAAAGCAGCGTGGCTGGGCAGGTGCCCGCGGCATGTGAGATGTCCTACCAGGCAGGCGGCGCTCGCTGGGGACCTGGCGTGGGCTCAGGAGAGCGACTGCTGGTATCTTCATTTCCCTGACCTTTGTTAGTTCAATAACTGAGTTCTTTTCTGTAACTAACGAGGCTTGCATGTACGTGTGGTCGACAAGCTGTGAATGAATGAAAGGGGGCCTGGTTCACGGTCAGTTTGAAGACCAGATTGGTCTTCAGACAGGGAGCTGGGGCGCGTGTGTTGTGCTGGAAGCTCCCATTGCACCTGTCCAAGGGAAAGCCGTGTCACAGCGGCTGGATGCACAAGTGCCATTCCGGGGGGGAGTGCGTGAGGGTCCGAGTCTAGAGAGCCGTGGGAGGAAGGGCGAGTCGGTGAAGGGTGAGCAGATGGAGGAGGCTGGAACTGAAAAGCAAGAGAATGACGGGGGAAGGGCAAGGGACTTGGAAGAGGAGATGCACTGGCCAAGGGGAGCCTGTCCTAATGTTATGTTCCTGAAACTGCGGCTGCTCGCCACCCCTCCCCATGGTCCTGAGCAGGACACGAGCTCCCACATTGGCACTGGCTGGGATCGTAACGCTCGGTGCATCCTGGGAGGAGAGAACAATCGCGCTTCGCCAGCAGCCCCGCTGGAGAGCCGTCTCCTAGCTCGTATTCTGGCTCCCAGGAGCGCGCGCCCGGCCTTGCCATGTGTTCAGCGTGCCTCAGTGAAGCCAAGCACACAGGGCAGAGGTGTTCATGTGATCTGTCCTTCAGCCTGCAGGAGCAGTTACGCCAGTTGTACCCCCGGCTGAAAGTGCTGGCGTTTGGCGCTAAACCGGAGACCACACTGCACACCTACTTCCCCTCCTTCCTGTCCAGAGCCACTCCAAACTGTCCTGCTGACATGAGAAATGAGGTGAGCGCTTGGGGAGTTGGCAGAGTGGTCGGGCTCGTCTTTGTTCTGGGCACGGCCGGGCTGGGCCTGCGAGGGGGCCCTTGACTGAGCGTGAGATTTCTGTGCAGATCCCCAGGGAGGGGCGGGTGGGAGCCAAGTGAGGCAAGGTCGGCACGCCTTGGGCCGGGATGCCCCGCAGGTGAGTTCTTCAAACCCGGTTCCAGCCAATCCAGAGAGCTGCCTTAACAAGGGGGGCAGGGGTGGACTTCTGCCTCTCTTGCTGCCTTAGGGTGGATAAAGAAGGTCTGACAGGCTTTTAAAAATGCTGGCCTTCTGCTTAGCTCTTCTGTTAAACGTTCAAGTCTTGTCCACTGTGTCGCTCCGGGAAGACGCGTAGGGCTGTCTGGAGAACCGCTAGGACTGACAGCAGACCTAGCAACGGAAACCAGATTGAGATGGGAATTCTCTGCGCGCTCTAAACTGTTTTTTTAACATCTGTTCATTCCTAGCAGCTGGGAGAAAAGCTCTTGGTGCAAAGACCCATCCCCCTCAGCCCATCAGATAAGGGCTGAGAAAGCTCCGCTCACACTGCAGCCCCCCGGCGAAGTGAGGATGATCTGACTTGTTTGTGCAGATCTCTCGAAGGAAAGACTGGGCAGAAAAAGGGCTTTTTTTTTTAACAAAACACCTTTCAGGACTTCTTTATCCATCACAACAAAGCAAATAGGGGCCGAGCCCCGTTTTCTGTGCTCTGAGGGAAGTACAGGTGTGAGGGGTCCAGTGCCTAGATATCATGGCGATTAGTACGTTGTAAGTAGGTAGCTAGAGAGATGGGAGAACTAGACTAGAGGAAAGGGTTGAGGAATAACCTGAACTGCCTAGTGGTGCTGGGTGGTCCAAGATGGCGCGCTGGCCCAGGGCTGGGTCAGCCAAATCCTGCCTCCCGAGCAGAAACGCCGTCTCGCTGGTGGGGGGGCGAGTGGGCCTGGTTTTCAGAGCTGCTGGGCACTCCAGTGAGCTGTGCCTGCTCAGCCCTTCTGGAAATCAGGTCACTTGCACGTGGGTCCCAAACTCCGTCAACAAGCAGGCGCGCGGCTTTTGGCCTGGCAAGCTGAGCTGCAGAGCCGGGCGTAGCGTGACCGAACTGAGCGTCCCCGAGGGAGGACTGGAGACACGTTGGTTGTAGCAAGCAGCCATCCAGTCTTTCTGCTTTCCTCCTGCGCAGCTCCTGATCTGCCTGAGCGAGTGCCTGAGCATGGACGCCCTGAGCTTCAGCGTCTGGCGGCAGCTGTACACTAAGCACCTCTCCCAGTCCAGGTAGGCTGTGCACACGGCTGGCTGGGCTTTGGGCAGACAGCAGGAGGCAGGTGAGCCACTTGCTCTCGCCTGGGCGTGGCTCAGCGTCTGTTCTGGAGGACGCGGGCTACACGGTGGGCACAGCTGATGTTCTAACGGGGTGGGCGCGGCGGGCAGAGGGAGGTACCCGCCCTGGGATGGCAGCGAGCCCAGGAGGAGCTGACGACGAGCCTGAGGAGTTTAACAAGAGCGGCAGTTCAACTGATAGCCCAGTGTGTCTGCTTGTGTCCAAGCCTCGGGCTGGAGCGCTGGGGTAACTGTCAGATTCCCCTAGCCAAGCCGGGATGCTGACTGTCGGGAACGTGAGCCATTCTGATAAAATTCCTGAAACCGAGAGCAGCTGTCTGAGCAGAGCTGTGGGCTTGGTGCACAGCCTGACTAACGTGCTTTCCCTGTGTGGCTGCGTCCTGCACAGCTTCAGCAAAGGCCAGAGCTGGGCTTCCTGAAGTTATTTGGGGAGATTCCCTTATCTGCAGGCAGGGGCCACCTGTGTTAGTGGGGCCGGGTGTGAACGCTCCTTTGAGTCCCAGCAACGTGCCCCTTCGCTCCTCAATGGAGCATGAACTCTGTGAGGCTGGTGCAGTGGCACAGAGTCAGGTACTGCTGCCTTCAGGGTGGTCCAGGCCTTCTCTTCCTCGTGACCCTTTGCAGTATTGGACCTCCATAAGCACATCTAGGTGGCATGGAAACTCCATGGAGCCCACTAGGACATATTCTCTTGCCTGCCTGGCTGGCTGGCTGGGACATACAGCTCAGCCCTGACATCTTCTAAGTGAGAGCTGGGGAGGGACCATGCGAGGAAGAACAGCTGGAGCAAAAGCAGCCCGTGGGAAGAGAGGGGTGAGACGTCCCTTATCACTGCAGTCTGTGGCTGGACATCGTCCTGCTCGCGGGCACCGCCCTTTCACAGAGAGTCTGAGACCTGTTTCCCTTGGCTCCACAGCTTGCTCCTCAACCATCTGTTGGAGTCTTGGGACAGCACCACCAGAAAAGTAGGTGATATGCTGGGGGGCAGGGACAATGGGGAAACCGTCCCTTTCCATGGGGCGGGATGTGCTAGAGGGAAGGAGAAGGCACTGAACTGGCACGTAGCAGATGGGGGTTCAAACCCAGCTCTGCTGTCGACGCCCTGTGTGACCTGGGCAATTACTTAATCTTGCTGGGTCTGAGTTCTGCCTTGCCGTGAGCTGGGCAGAATCGCTGCTGTTTTATCATTTCGACAGACTGTAGCGATGTTTGTTTTAAGCAACCGGTGTGGGAGATGCTGGAGGTCAGACAATAATTCTTTAATGGCAGGTGATGTCGAGATTCAAAGAGTTAAATCTTAATCACCATTAAAACCCATTGTCAGCATTGCATGTCAAAATATACCTAGGAAATACCTTTCAATGAAACGCTGAGATCTCGCCCGTATTTTTCTTACTTTGCTTACCTGTAAATTTCACTTGTGGATGGAAACGTTTTCCCGGCAGTTTGTGTACAGTGAAATCAACGGTTACCTGTAACAATCGAATCCTACCTCACCTACTTTGAGGTCGCTTTCCAAATAGGGTTAATGCGATCTCACCACCTCACGGGGGCTGTTGTGTCTGCGGGTCCTGTCACTGGCGAGGTGCTTGGGCATGTGGGGCGGGAGCCTTCTAACATACCAGTATAGACCGAGGTGGTTCATATCGTCTCCTCAACCCGGCCCTTCCCTGCCTACGTCTCAGACCTTGCCTCGTACTGTGTCCTTCGCGCTGCTGATGCTGCCAGTCTCAATGTCTGGTTTCCTTTCCCGCCCTCCGCTGTCCCATGCTGCCCTCCAGTGTGTGGAGCCCAGCCCAGGCCAACGTGTCTTTAGTCAAGTCCCACGTTCTTTTCAAGGCCTGCCAGAAGGGAGTTCCTAATTACATGGCCATAGCGAATGTCTGTTGTGGGCTTTCCAGTGCATCCCATCTTCCATGTCTGCTGTTTGGATCGCAGCTCTTGGACTTTAAACTAGATTGAATTTGAACATTTAACACTAGACTGGGGAAAAGACGTGAGATCACTCCCCCCTGGTCCCCTGAGAGGAGGGGAATGGACTACATGTGACCTAACTGGCCTCCCCCCTTGTTGAAATCCATGGGGTTTGTTCAAGTTGGGCTGCCCAAACTTTGCTGCCAGTGTAGCGCCCATATTGGGCAGAGAATCTGTTTTGTGCTGACGGTGGGACAGATCCTAGAGCAGCTGCGGTCACTGCCCCATGCTGACTGAACAGGACTAGTGGTGCAGACCCCCTCACACAGAGTCAGTGGCACTCCTTGGGGGGAGTGGATTTAGGCTGCCTGGGGAGGTTAGAAGTGTGATAGTGAGTCTTGATTAACTGGACTGGGGTCAGCATGGGAACAGGCTCTGGGTGGGCTGGTGCTCTGCACCGGCAAGGGCAGTGTGGCCGCCCCCAGAGGTTCTGCCCAAGCGGGGTGTTCTGTTACGTCTCTGTGCTGTGGAACTCAGTGTCTGTCTTTCTTCAAGGTGCGAAAATCTCTCC